TCCCAAGGTGAAGAAGATTCATGGAAATGATGGCTTGATTTTTACTTGTCGGAGTACTCCCTATCGCATCGGTACAGATGAACATATCCTCAAGTGGAAGCCGCCCAGTGAGAATACTATCGATTTTCGAATGCGCTTGGAGTTTCCCCTGTTGGAACCGGATTCGGATGATGAGGCGGAGGGTGTTACGGAGCCGTATTACGATTATGATGCCTTGCCTATCTTTCATCTGTTTGTTATGCTCAATTCGAATGAGTACCGCCCCTTCGGGGAGATGTATGTCTCGCCGGAGGAGTGGGAGAACATGAAGGCGTTGCAGCAGCCGTTGGATGATGCGATTGTGGAGTGCGCTCAGGATGAGCAGGGTCGCTGGCGGTTCCATCGCATTCGGGATGATAAGGCGGATGCGAATCATATCTCGACGGTGGAGAAGGTGCTAGAGAGTATCCAGGACCGGGTGACGGAGGAGGATCTGATTCGGGTGGCTCCTGCGATCAAGACGGCGTGGAAGAAGCGACAGGCGCAGATGTCGGAGCGGGGAAGACCCGGCAGTACGGCGCAGGTTAATGGGAGTAATGGGGTGAAGCGAAAGTTTGAGGACTAGGAGGGGGTGATGATGCTACTAAGGGGTGCTGCTTTGACTGATTCGGTTTGCGAGGCGTTCGGCGTTGGGTTGGTTGGTGATGGGGATGTCTCATCTCATCTGCTGGGGGGTGATGATTGTAACTGTGTATAGATAATGCGAGATGGGCAAGAGATGAATATGGCTAAAATCGGGCTAGGCGGGTTTTGTATAATGCAATGCAATCTTTACTTTAGATGATTTGCTTGACTACGAATAGTAGTATTATCTGTAGAGGTCTATCTCCAAAGGGATTATCAAAATAGCCCAAGCTGCAACTAATACCCTGCAACCACTATCAGACGAAAGAGATCTCAAACTCTACTACATAAGCACTACTAGTAGTAGTATACTACAGAGTATTACTTAAGGGGTATCAGAAGAATTCCACCAAGTCACTACACCAAGCCACTGCAACCTGGCGCAGCTGACTGACATCCACATAACTTCCACCTCAGTACTACACAGTATGTATGGAATATACTAGTAAGTACTATACATAGCTTGCACACCATTAACAAACAAACACATACCCCCAATTTTTCCCCAAAGAACCATGCAGGCTACTCCAGTTACCCCATACTTACTACGTATCCCGCCAACAAACAAAACGCACAGAGCCTCGCAAGCCCGGATTGGAATGTGGAGAAAAACATACAGTACGTACATGTAGCCGATCATGCAACTCCCATGAACTAGATTGTACTTAGTTATTTTTAGTGGGGTGTAGTAGGGGTGGGAAATGGTTCATCCATTCATCCATTTATTCGTTCGTTCGTTCGTTCTCCATTCGGAGTTACTTGACCAGTGGGTTGGGTCGAGCTTATTCGTGAATACTTAGTATGTATGTATGTAGCATGATGCTTCCATCTCGTATAATTTTACTTTACTTGCTTTCTTTCTTGGGGATTTTTTGTGTTACACGAAGAGAGTTCGGGTTACGAGGGATGAAGGGACGGATGGGGTAAAAATTGTGGAGAGTTGCCATATTTGTATGTAAGTAGTTGGGTTGATAGTTACTATCTAAGTATCGAGTAGGAGGCAAGTTATTTGGTGATTACGTTGCAATGGCTGGCTGGTTGGAAATGAATCCAGGGGGAGGTGTGGGTGAAGCTGCTGTGGGAGTAGTAGTAAAACAAAGCAGGGGCTGGCTGCTTGCTGGCTAGCAGTACGTAGTACTTAGCAGGGCTTTTACTGAAATGAGTTGGACGGAGTTGTGGAGTGTGTGTGTGTTCATTTTTGCCACGGAGTAAAATGGCAATGATGGCAGCAATCCATCCTGTGGGATGAATGGATCGAAGGATTGGTGGGTTAATCTAAAGAGGTAAAAAGTAGTAGTAAGTAGTGCTTCGTACTTTCTGTAGGACTTGTTTAGTGCTGTTAGTTGGTGTGTTTCTAGAAGGTGAGGTGTCCAGGGAATGGGGGGAAGAAGGAGAGATCACATCATGGATCATGAAGGATTGCGTGGTCTGATCCATTCATTTACCCCATTCTACTACTGTACTCCGTACAGTAATCGCCACTGTAGCAGTAATATGGGGATCGAAATGGATATTCTGCACGATGGAGTATTCCCGGGCTTCTAGTCTATTTAGTATTTAGTATTACTCGCTGCCTTTCCCGGAACTCAGGCTGAATTGCCCCGAAGTCGATCACTAGAAAAATAAAAGAAGAAGGTATGGGGAAAGAACGGAGTAGATACTTAGTAGTATCTAGTAAAATATGGAGAAACGAGTAAGTAGAAACATTTTTTCTCACAAAACCACTGGAAAGTAACTCCAGCCATTGAACTACTAGTCAGTTCCTTTTTGACCCTTGTTTTCTCCACATCTGCACACGTAACAGTAAACTAGTCTAGTCTGCATCTCTGCTTTTTTTCCCCAAAATCCCCCCCCAACTCCCCTTCCCCATCCTTTTTTTTTTTTCTGGTCTTGTCTTGTCTTGTTCTGTTTTTTCTCCGGGCTGATCTCTTTTCCCCAGCCAAAAGTCAAATCCCCATTCATTTTCAATCCCCGGGACAGTTTCCGTCTTTCCGTCCTTCCGTCCAAGCATGCCCCATGCCCACTCAGTCCTACCATACCATCCGCCCGCCTTGCCCAGACGTAGCAAAACAACTGGGGTAGTACTTAGTAGTTATGTGTGGGTTCTGGCCTGGACCCGACTTTCTGGGTCCATCTGCCGCCGCCTGGCTCCGGGGGTTGTTGTTCATGGGTGAGGCGGTTGTTCCTTTTTTTCTTTTTGGTTTCGGTTTCGCCTCGCAACGGGAAGGGATGGATGTATCCTTCCATCCAATCCTTAGGTTCCTTTTCTCGTTCTCCTTTATTCGGTAGTACGTAGCAAGCTATTTATTGCTTACTTAGTAGGGTTGTAGGTTAGGTGTACCTGAGTCGTAGGTGGTAGTACTAAAGGAAAAAGGTATTTTAGGCGGGTGTTTCTTCTTGCTCTGTCTGCATTTTCTCTTCCCATTCTTTTTCTCTTCAAACGTCCTTCGTCCTCTCTTGGAGTACTCCTCGGTTCCTAGTACTTGATAGTTATTTGGTTCCCCATACATCTTCACTCTGTTCCATACATACAAGTGAGGCACTTTACCATCCACCATCCACCACTATAGTCAGCACCAACAACCAAACTATAGAATATACAGACAATAGTAAAGAAAGAGAAGAGGTAAGCCAATTATTCCTTCTTTCTTTTTTCTTACTTCTGCCCTTGCACAACACACCATCATCATCACCACTCAATCAGAAACGGACATAGTCCTCGGCTAAGAGGAGGGATTGAGATTTGAGGACCCTCATGAGAGAATAAACTGGATCCATTCATCCACCCACCCATCCATCCAGTCATCTACTACTTTTTTGATTTTACCTCGGCGGATTTCGGAGCAAAGCATGATATCTTTACTCCGGAGGATCTATATCGGCATACATCCCATCCATTCATCACATATGATATTTTCTTTTCTTTTCTTCTTTACTTCTTCCCACTCGGTTATATATATATGTTCTACATATGCACATGCAGGACACAGATCATTGACATGATTTTACTATAGGGACATAACATACTACCATCACTACTTATAAACTCTGTTCCTGATCACCATAATATACTACTACCTCCATTCTACATACACAACCAACAACTTCACCACTTTTCATCTCTCTACATCAAAGATTGAAAGTGGAAACAAACAAAATGGCCCCCTCTCGCTGTCCAACACCACCCTCCACATCCACATCCACCTCAACAACAACAACTACAACTACTTCTAGGAGACCTCATCTCTCCCTCCCTCTCTCCCAAGATACCATCTCCCGCGCCATCCTCTCCGCCACAACACACATCCCCAAGGCAATCTCCATCGACACTACCACACCTCCCACCTCTCCATCCTACCACACAGAAGGGAAATTACCCTTGGAATGGGAATTCCCTCTGCCGCCACCGCCGCCTCCGTCGCCTGTGGAGATGAGGAGGTTTTGGGCTTGAAGCTTTCATTCCCCCCCTTCTTCTTTCCATGATACTACTACTATAGTATGATGGATGAAGCTAGGTTAAGGAGCTTACTGGATGGATACGTTGGGGTTGATTGATTTATTTCTACTACTACTTTCATTGACATTTGATTTGATATTCATGGAATGGGGTTTAGCGTTGGTTGATTTGTTGGTATTGGTTTGGATAATTGCATCGTCTCATGGATGGATGGTCGGATGGATGGGAATTTGGGGTGTTTGGTGATGTGATTGATTGATTACTTGGTTGTTTTTTTTGTTCGTTTTATTTGAAAGTGTTCGGGTTTGATTTAGCTGTCTATTTGTTGCTATTTGAAGCTACTGGGAATAGATGTGTATACTATCATCATTACTCGTCCTATTGATCAGGTCCTACAGCAGTCATTGGTGTCTCGTTCATCATGATCACATTCATCCTCATAGTACAGAGTATATAGTACAGTATAGAATACCCACATACTGCATCAAATCGACGCTATCACATGCAGGGATTTCTCATAGTAGAATGGGAATCAGGATTCATCATCAAATCAAGGATGTACCTTGCAGCTCCCTGAGGAAAAGAATCCGCTGACGCCATCACGCCGCAAACCGGTTCGTACGACGCGCATCAACTGCCCTATTCAGTTCGGTGGAAAGTTTGCCGCGGATGATGATCCTGACTTAATTCTCCCATCAGTGTTGGGTCAAGCAAGCTTCTCCCGGCCCGAGTTTAAGGTCTTGTTCTGCGGTGGGACGAACGCATGTGTCGTTGAGCCTGACCTCGGTCGATCTCGGTCGGAGCATCGGATGTTACTATGTTCCAAGCTAAGACACGTGACGTTTCTGGCTTCAGTTACCTGACTTTTGTGAACTATCCTATCCGGTCCGAAGGTCTGGTCTGGTCCGGGTCTGGATCATCGTAGATCAATCATGTTCAGAAGTACTATGATTGATCTGTTTTTTTTTTTCAGTCAGTATTCAGCGTGGTTTCGTATCGCGGAAGTGTAATTCCACTGATAGGAAACTTTCCCTCTCATGTAGCTAAGCTTAGCTTAACCCATTCAAGTGTAGCCGAACCAAGCCTATGGATTAAGATTGAGATACGAAGTAGAGGGTTCTTATTGTCCCAGCTCATCATCATTCTCATCCATCTCTTCCTCTTCATCTTGTCCGCCCAACCGCGAATAAAGTCCCTCCAGCTCCGCCATGGCGTTCGCATCCCCGGATAACGCCAGCTCGTTTAACCGTTGAATCTGTGCCAGCTGTTCATCGGTACGAGCCCAACCACGTAGCCGATCCTCCAGATTCGTCATGCGTTTGGTGCTGAATGTTGTCCGCACGGCGTCGGTCTCGCCTTTGCTGCGTTTGAGGCTGGCAAGGCGGTCTAAAAATCGTGCTTGATTGGTTTGCGGGGCGTTTTTGCGGATTACACCACCGCCCTGGGTGGTGGTGCTGTCGCTGGGCTGTTCTGCGGCGGCGGCAGAATCCGCTGCGTAGACGTTGGAGGATGAGCTGGATATGAGATTCGCTTTGCGACCGAGTATTTTCACGCTGTTGGCTGCGAGGAGGTCGTAGTTTGGGGTGTGGCGGAGCGGGATGACGGGACTACTGCTACTACTAGTAAAGGAGGAGGGGTCTGCATCGTGCGGTGGTGAGGAGGATGAGTCCTCAGGGCGTGCGATGAGTAGCTCGGTGCCGATTTGGTCGGCCCAGGTGCCGCTGAAGATTTGGTTCTGGTAGGAGATGATGGGGTTAGGGGTGTGAAGGCCTAGGATTTGGACACGGTCGGCGATGGAGGGGTTGTTGGGGTCCGCTTCGGTGCTGGAGAGAGCAGCGTCGGGTTGGTCATCGTGATGGTTCTGATTCTGATTCTGGGAAGGTGTGGATGGACTGGAGGTGGGGAGGGAGGAGGGATCTTGTGGTTGTCGGCGACGAGGGGGCCGGATGGGACCGTGGAGGGAGGTGAGGTCGAGAGTCAGATAGACAGTCTAGTGATGGTGAGATGGGGACTTGTCAGCATCACAACCAAGGCAGCATGGGAGCTAGACTGCCAAGGTGAGAACGAACTTCTGTTTCGGTGGGATGATATTCGTATTCATATTCGGAATCATCATCATCTTCGGGGTGGACCAGGCTGGAATCGGCCAGCATAGCTGGATCCAGCATTAAGGGAGGGGGGAGGGCCATGGATGCAGCTGGCGACAACCGTGAGCAAGCAGCTAAAGTGATATGATGATGGTAGAATTATCAAGTTGGGAGGACTGATTGGATTGATTGGCAGGGCGGCAACTAATTCGCGGCGGCGCCCGACGATCCAGACTTGGCGGTGAATCACTCCACTGCAAGCTGTTGCAGCCAGTCATCAGCCTGGATTCTTCCCATAACTTCTCGTGATTGATTGATTGTTAATAGCTAGCTAGCTACTTAGTATGATAGAATGCAGCAGAAGAGGCAGTAGAGGCAGAAGAAGACCCTGCTGACTATCGTGTTTGTCATCTCATCAGGCATCCATGAGAGGCTGAGCTGACAGACTGAACCCTTAGACTTTACGACCCTGAGGATCCATCAATTCCCGTAATCCAATTCATCCCAGTTCCAGTCCCTCCTTTCTTCTCTTTTCTCCATCAGCTCCAGTTTTCACCTCCAGCTCCAGTTTGACTAACGGGGTTATTCCTCATCTTGTCTTAGCCAGAGTGCTCTGCTGCATCCACCGCAGCTGCGAGTCCCTGCTGGATGATCGACCGGATGACTTCATCCTCCCCTTCTTGCATCATCATCACCAATTCTCCTTGTCATTCCAATCCGGTTGCAGTTGTGAACTCGATCATTCCATCTAGATAGTACACAGTACACAGTACACAGTACACACAAGACAGTAAAAATACTAATTCAGTTTTTCGTCAATTACTCAATATTCCGACCTGAATTGATCCATCCATGATCAGTGAGTCCACCTGATTCATTCATTCAGTCAATGGCCCCTCTTTTCTTCCGTGTGTTCCGTTCTTCTTTCCCCTCTCCCTATCATGCCCACTCACTCTCTCACCGTATTGCTGTTCTCCCTTTCTCCCTCTCTTTTTCACTATGACGATCCGGCAACCGGCGGAAGCCAAATCCAAGCTGCATCCGTCGTCTTCCCATTCGAACTCGTGCCTCATCATCCATTATCTAATCCGCTTCCGTGCGAGCCGATCTATTGCTGCTGCTTCCAGCAAATTCCTGTGCTGGACTCGGCCACTCCAATGCCCGAATTTCCCTGTTCTTCCCTTTCCCCCCTCACCCCCCCTTCAGCCCTAAGCATCCACTATCACTTCCCGCGGCCTTGTTGTTTGTCTGCCCTACCAATCGTCCCATCATGACCAATTACTCATGGCCCTCATGGCCAATCACTGCCCAATTCTGTCCCCTTCTGTACCATCATTTTGACCTTCCGAGACCCGTTCCTGCTGTTCTCGACCCTTACCGGCTGACTGACAATGTCATCGCGCCTGCCCGCTTCTGCTTCTTATAGTGTCTCCTCCGCTTCCTTTACCTCCGGGCTCAAATGCCCGGCTCGGTCGCTTTTCTCCCTCCCTGCTGCTGCTGTCGCTGCTTCTACTGTCGCAGTCGCTCTGTCATCCCTCCCCCCTCGGCTCGGATGCCTCTCGTCCTCTTGCAATTTCCCCCGAGGATTCCTCCGTGACCGATCTGGCCGACAGCCTGGTCGCTGCAGCTCCTCCCACCTCTGCTGACCCGATTGGGAATCTGGTCACACTACTCCCGTCCACCACTTCTACTCCCGGTGATCAGTCCGGGTTAGTGGTGCTCCCCTCGTCGCGCTCTAGTTCCTCCGATCTTGAAGCTTCCCCCGGCTTCGTGCAGCAGATGATTCGCTCTACCAGGGTTGCCATTGTCACCCTCGCCTCATTGATTGCCTATGTCTTGATCAACAGCGCCGCGCGCGCCGTAAACCCGTCGGCCTTCATCTGGTATGCTGAGGATCATGACGAGCAGAGCTGGATTGCCTCCTCGCCGTCCTGGTTGGATCGCAAGGCCTGTCGGTGGCTCGGCATGTGCGGGACCGCCCACTTCCGCCTAGTGCGGGCCCGCTACGGCCAGCGCGAGCCCACTCTGGGACCCTGGTCGCCCGATGACGAGGCCCACTACGCCGCCTGGCGCGATGCGCAATTCAACGACTCCCAGCAGCCCGCTTGGGATGAAGCCGAACGCTCGCGTCGGCAAATTCCCGAGTATGTCTTTCAGTATGCGCCGTTGGTTTACCTGTCCTCGCATGAGCAGTTTTGGCCGGGCGACATTGCCGAGCATCTTTACCACGTCACCCCGATGCTGAACTACACCCCCATTCATTCGGATGAGGAGCATCCTACCTTGCAGGACCTCGATCAGCTGAATGAGTGGCAGGAAGGTGAGTTCGTGTACTTGACTAGCAACGACAATGTAGAGGATCGCCCGCCATGGATCGAGGGCGAGAAGAATATTCCCGACGATCCCGATGACGATCTTGAGCTGTCATGGCCTGACTGGGACGGCCGGATAGACGGACCTATTCCCGGGGACACGCCAGAAGAACGCTCCCAGTGGTATGACACAGGCCGTCTCTCATCATTGAAGGGAGAGGATGACAGTTGGTCTCCAGAAGATCTGGGGTATCTCCGCCCGGAAGACCTCGCTGACGAGGATGTCCGAACCGAGTTGCGCAAAAGGTTCGGCGGCGAGCCCATTCATGTCGAAAAGACTGGCGGGCGCAGTAACGCTCCGGCAATTCTGCTGGTGATGGACAAAGGCCACGGCGTCGTAGATGCGTTCTGGTTTTATTTCTACAGCTTCAATCTGGGCAACGTAGTGCTGAACGTGCGGTTCGGGAACCACGTGGGTGACTGGGAGCACTGTCTGGTGCGATTTCACGACGGCAAGCCCAAGGCGCTTTTCTTCAGCGCGCACTCGGCAGGAGAAGCGTACAGTTACGAAGCCGTCGAAAAGATCGGCCAGCGGGTAAGTAGAGATATAAATTGCTCCCCTCCCGCACGTCCAGGGGTTTCCCGACGCTAACCATGGATCCCTGTCAGCCCGTGATTTACTCCGCCATGGGCACCCATGCCATGTATGCCACCCCAGGCATCCATGCCTACATCCTGCCCTGGGGTTTGTTGCACGATCAGACCGACCGTGGGCCCCTGTGGGACCCTCTTCTGAATGCCCACGCCTATACGTACGATTATGATAGCGATAACCTTCGAGCATCCACTGCCACGCCAAGTGCCCCTATCGAGTGGTTCTACTTCAACGGCCATTGGGGCGACAAGTTCTATCCGCTAGGTGATCAGCGTCAGTATCGATTCGCAGGTCAATATCATTATGTCAACGGCCCAGTGGGACCGCGGTTCAAGCATCTCAACCGCCACAAGGTCTGTCAGCAGCGGGACGAGGAAGTCTGCGTCATCAAGAATTACATCGGGGAAGAAAAGCGGGCTAAACGCTGGGCGGGTACTCGACCTGAACATGAGAAAGAACATGACTAGACGGGATCGCCCTTGGCCTTTTGGCAGACCCCAGCCGTGGCACAATCCCATGTCAGGTTGCTGGCATTCTTGCATTCCCTGCTGGTTGGAACCTATTCCTACTATATCCCTACCTTTTCCCGGATTTCCCCTCGTATTCATAACGTATTCTTTGCGTGCATTTGTTTATTCCGGTGTTATCTCATGTGGATATACCCTGGCGTTTTCCTTTATCCTTACATCTTGGTCGACTGCATAGACCACTGGCGCATGTTGGGGCTAGTTTCCCCCTCAAACCCACGATGGACGAGTTACACGACCCTACCTTATATCCTTACGCTACTATACATATCATGACAGTTTTGGACACGGACCAGGAGCCGTATGATGGCGTTCTGGTAGTTTGCATTTGATTTGGATGATTTACGGTCTGATACGAGGAGTCTAGCGATACGAATAGATGATTGGTTATAACCTCCGCTCTACATGGTCAATTCCTTCCACAATGAACAAGTATCTCTACTCTTGAATGACTATCTATATACACTCTATCTCTAGTCTATATGCGCGTTGACTCTAGATGGTAACCGTTTCTCCCGGAGACAATCCTCAAGACACAAATATCCAACTATTGAGGCACCCTCTCCGAAACCTCCCTCCAAAAATCACACCTCGCCCCTCTCCCTCCCTCCCAAGCAGACGAATTGACCAACCGGAAATGATTCACTACGCCCTCTCCCTCCCGAATCCAGTACGACAAATTCGACGTCACCACATCATGAACCAAATAACCCCCCGTGGTGTTCAAATCCAACATAACCGGAAATTCAGGCGAATAACTCGGCCAATCAAGCATCCTCGTCCCATTCTTACCACAACCATCCCTACGACCACAACCCACAACAGGAACCGAGGCATTCGCTTTCCCAGCCGTGGCATCTTCCATCGAAATCACTGGACTATCAGCTATGATAAACTGGCCCCACATCTTCTGGAAGGCGGTTCTGAATCCTTGATTGGGCCAGGTAGCGTCCGCGCTGAAGTACGCGGAGAGGTCGGCGCCGTGGTACGCGGGTGTTACAGAGTATTGATATTTCCATGCTTGACGAGGGGGTTGGGGATCGGAGCAGGAAAGGGTGTCGTCTTCTTGGCTGAATGCGTCGGCGAGCCATTGCGCGGGACAGGCAAAGGTGGTTTCGGCGAAGATGTTGAATACCGTTTGTTGCAGGCCGGTTGCCATTTCGGATTGGTTGATGGCTGTTGGACCGCTGGTGCCGAGGGTGTCGTAGCGGGGGCTGTTGTCGGTGGGTTGGCTGTTGAAGGTTTGGTAGACTTCGTTGAGGAGGGCGATGTCGGAGGAGGTGAAGAGGGGGAAGGTGGTTGAAATGTAGGAGTTGAAGGCTGCGCGGGTGACGACGTTGGGGTTGCTTAGGGGGACGCCGTCGTTGGCGTTGTTCTGTGGTAGACTGTTAGTGGGTGTTGTGTGAGTGAGGGGGATGGAGGGTGCATACGCCGATGAGAATGCGTTTGCCGCTCACTTTGCCTTGAGCGAGCTGCACAGAGGGCCTTTCTTGGATTAGCTCGCCGTCGATGACTGGGAGGAAAGCCCAGGTGCCGAATAGTCCGGACGTGGAGACAGTGGCGCTGGCATTCTGTAGGAGGGTGCTGGGAGCTGCTACCAGGCAGTCAAAGGTGGTTGCGTAGTTCTTGATGGCGGTGGAGTTCGATCCGCAGCCGGCCAATTCAGCAAAGTCGTTGTAGTACTGCTCTGGCACCTTGTCGTGGTAGTTGAAGATTGGGGGTGAGTAGGCGCTTGCGGCAATGATCTATGCGAAGACTGTCAGTCAATGTCGAGGTTAAAATGGGAGAGACGCACGTTGTTGAAGAGGTTGAACTCCTGGCCCCCGTATGCCAGCGCATGCAGCATGACTGCCCCGGCGCCTGAGGACTCGCCGCCAATGGTCACACGTTTAGGATCACCGCCAAATTTGGCAATGTGCTCCTGTACCCATTCGATGGCAAAGCGTTGGTCGAGAAGACCGGCGTTCGTGACACCGTGCTCCTTGACCTCCTCGGAGGAAAGGAAACCAAAGGCTCCCAGACGGTACTGGATTTCCACGGTGATGAACCTGTTGTTGTTCGTATTCATCATCGGGCTGGGATCATAGGTCGCACCAAAGAGCCCATAGCCACCACCGTCTGTCGATCGATCGTTACAGTTAGCTAAGATACAGGGTGCTACATAGTTGTTTGAAGACTTACGGATCCATAACAGGACGGGTAGGTCCGTCGCGTTCGGGGGAGCATAGACATTCAGGTACAGACAGTCTTCATCGCCAGGCCCGGAGTTGAAGCCGTAGATGTATGGTGTCTTAGCCGCCCCGGATTGAGGACAGACAGGGGGCTGGTCCACGGCTAGTGTGATCTGGCTGTTGTTCTGCAATGGAGGTGCCGGCGCCTGCCAACGCCGTTTACCTACCGGGGAAGCCGCATACCGGATACTGGATGATAGATCAGGCCATGTCCACAACAGTGACCATCTTTCTGTTGGTCAATGGGGCGTGTTTCAGACATACCTCTTCCACACATTCAAGTCATAAGTGGAACTATAAGAACCCTGATAGGTCGCGTATCCCAGATCAACGATGGGATGCTGGCTGGCGGAGGAGAGCGCCGCGCTGGCCGCGAGCAGCAAACAGTATCCGGGCTTCATCTTCACCAGAAACCGTCAGAGCAAAGAGTCGTTTCACCGAATCAGGTTCCCTGCAGAACGACAGTCAAATTTCGGAAAAGAGGCAGGGATGGGCAGTCCTACTAACGGCAATTAAGCGGCAGGGCGTCCGAGCCCAGATCCAGCTCAGGGGCAAGCTTTTTAGCGCATGTTGCAGAGCTGCGAGGTACTAGGTCAGCACTTAATACTAGTTGGGATAGCATGGAGCGGTGGGATGCAGGCGAGCAGCAGAGCGGATTCCTGGTGGATCGCAATCAATTTGGGCGGCCGCCATTCGATCACGGGGGAGGCACGTGTGGCCGGTCCGATGCTTCGTTCTGCACCGGCCATCGATCTTAGTCTCCAACTAACTCGCCGGTTCTTCCTACTGGGCACCGTCTGCTAGCTAGCTAGCTAGTTCGTTATCTCACTGCCTGAAGGATGAGTCGCTCAATCTCCGAGACTCCGATACTTAGCGTGGGGCCAAAACCGCAGTCAGAGCGCCCCGTCTATCCTTCGTGCTCCCTTGGCTGCAGCCATCTCGCACAAACTGGGCTGACTGCCGACGGAATGGCTTGGTCAGGCTGTCAGCATGAAGAATCGAAGACAGAGGGCGAGGGGTCTGCCAGACCCACCGTAAGCAGGCCAGCACCTCCTACAAAACACAATGGGGAGGACCTGCAGAATTCTGCTGCTGATGCGGCTGCTGCTGCTGCTGGACTACAGTCCGACGGTTAGATGCTGTAGCCATCCAAGATGAGCTCTGCAGGGGCAAACTATTCAGCGGCATATCTGGCACAGTCGCGTGTGACCGAGGTGGCTGTGGCATATTCGGTCCCGATCCCCGTTGAGATCCTGACTACAGTATGGCGACTCTGGATCAAACTGCGGCCATCCTCGGAGCATGGCTTGACCTTTGACGACTACGTGATGATCTGGGCTACGGTGAGCAATCTAGCAGATAACTGTGTTCAAGGGCACGTCCTGACTCGAATGTCTCCATATAGATCATTGGTGTTGGCGTCTGCGTCAGTGGATTGGTTTACGGTGCGCTTAACCGGCCCGTCCCGTTGACATCTCTGGACCGTGTAATTAACCACTATCCACCTCGACAGGCCCTCCCTATGGTTTTGGACGACATGTCGCCGCCTTGCCAGACAAGGAAGTCGAAACATTCATGATGGTACGAAGGAGTCAACCAAGTCAAGTCGACACTCACCTTCAGATGGCTGACGGATTCGGACCCGACGGTAGGGCGACTACATCTTCAGTCACTTCTACGATGTTGCCATCGCCAGCACCAAGCTCTCCGTGCTGGCACTATATTATCGCATTTTCATCACACCGAAATTCCGCCTGATCGTCATCCTAACCGTGGTATGGGTGATCCTATGGCTCATGACCATGGAAATTGTCCTAGGACTGGAGTGCCGGCCGATCGCAAAGTTCTGGAACTCGAGCGTTGAAGGGACATGCTTCAACCTCGTTGCCTTCAGCTACTTCACCAACATTGCGAACCTCGTCACCGATATCTGGATCTTCCTCCTCCCTTTACCCGTCATTTTGCGTCTTCAGATCACTAAGAACAAGAAGATCGGCCTCAGCCTGCTCTTCTCCGTCGGGTTGGCGTACGTACTTAGCCACTACCTTATAGTACCTAGCACCCCTAAGTAGCTAACATACATTCAGTACCTGCGCCATCAGCGCAGCACGACTAACCGTTGTCGTCACCCAAGGCTCAGCCGACTACACCTGTAAGCTCAATCCCCCTCCCCTCTGCATCCACCCCGACCAACCCACTGACTTCAACACAGGGGCCGGCGTCCCCCTGGGCATTCTCTCCGCCTGGGAACCCCTCGGCGGCATTCTCTGCGCCAACATTCCCATAATCTATAAATCCCTGGCTGCCGTTTTTCGCAGCATAAAGGGCACACTCTGCACCCACAGCTCTCGCAGCGCACACGCCTCCTCTACCCAGCGCCAAACAAAGTCCAGCGCCCACCATCATCACAATACCTGGCTTCAGCTGAATAATGGTAGCGGGGCCGGGAATAGCTATCGCTCTGAGATCTTGGCTTTGAAAAGCATGGACGATGACGATGATGATACGGAGATGCAGCCTGTGCCGGGGATGAATATGATTATGGTTGAGAGGCAGTTTGAGCAGGAAGTGATTGATCGGCATCATGACCCTCATCATAGTCATCATGATGGGAGAGAGGGGGATGAGGAGCCCTTGCGGGGGAAATAGTGATATAGTTGAATTTTTAAATACATGCAAGCACTGATATTGCCTAACAACTTCTTTATTCTCGGTCTTGTAGAGCCTAAATATATCTGAAGAGGCCATGCCTGTTACAACCCAGTTTACTCTAATCCTACTACTAGTAAGCCCCTTTATTTTTCCTGTCTACTTGTATATCTATCACGAAAGGGGGAGTGATAGCACAATTGAAGCTAGGGCTCTACCTTAATCTACCACCCAGTACGTATTCAATATATTTTGATAGATATAAGTACTACTCAGCGAAATTACAACAAAGAGGCAACTAGTACGATAGACATACACAAGATCCAGAGATTAGCAAATAGATCAGGCACCGCAGCTAGCTAGTACCTAGAGAAAAAAAAAAAAAAACGAAAAAGAAAAACCAAGCAGGAATTGCCAAAACGGAAAGATGAAGGAAATACGAGGCGGAGGCAGAATGAACGCTGAAGCAAAGCTAGGTATACTGGTATAATAATGGAAGAATACTGCAAAGGGATGATGGAAAGGAACGATGGGAAGAG